AGGAATGCCTTACGAGATTACCTTGAATTACCTTCTTTTGCTGCAGCGTTGATAAAAAGACAATCGCCTCTCTCGCTGAAGCGCGCAAATGGGATAGACAATCGCTTTGCGATAAGAATCGATGAATACTTTGTAATTTCTGCTTCTTTCTCTCCCCGTATCTTCTATTATCATAACAAATTTACCTTTTTAAAAAAAGGTAAAAAAAGGTGTGCCCTCTCAGAAAAAACGTTACATAAATTATTATACGCACTTGTATATGTGCTCCTTAAAGGAAAAAAGACTTCCTATTCCAAACCTACTACAAACCTATCTTTTAAACTATGAAAGTATATAATAATTTTTTTCAAAAAATATGTATCGGCTTAGATGAACATATCCAATGTCGATTGGAAAAGATTATACGAAATACGAAAAGGTAGGTCGTGAAACATGCTCTTTGTAATATTTGATATGTTAATAGCTAAGGTCTGTATTACGATGCTTATTGTAAAACCGGATAAATTATATACGGTTTCAATCAGTGTTCCCTGGCGGTATATCATGTGGATGATATAGATTATAATTTGTAATATTCTTATATGCGTAAAAATTGCAATTGAATATTCCTCTTACACTTGGAGATAAGATGACAGTAAATACAAAACACAATTTTTCCTGCTTGAAACTGGCATTAAAATGATTTTATGAATTAAAATTTTAGATGCTTTATATAATCGAAATATTTTAAGTTAATGAAATGCTGTTTAAACGAATAAAAGTATGTCCAACTTATTTCCTAATTATTCTCTTTCATATTTCCTCAATTTATGTTTTATCATACGTTTTTTTAGCTTTATATGTTTTTATAGCTTAAACCCTTCATTATGGACTATAAATAAATAAAGTATGCAAGTTTATATCGCATTATTTAATTGTTTGTAACACCTTCTCCCATAGGAGGTGGCATCTTATCCACACATATAGGGGGAAGATGCCACTTCTGCAAAGTATGATATATCAATTTTTCCAATAATACGGAATATTAAATGTTAAATTTATAAATTTGTGTAAATAAAGAAAGGTCTCTAGAATATTAATAATATTTTTTCATAACTTAATTCAGTAACATTAAAGTTATTAAAAAATAAAGGCTTAAATGTGGCGTCTTGCCCCCCCCCCCCTCCAATTACCTTAATATTTGAATATAAAATAATAAATTACAAATATATATACACTGCCGTCGAAAAGTTTCCGGACATGGAACTTAAAATTGCATAATATTCAGGTCACCGTACTTCGATAAAAAAATCATTGCAGACAAAAAAATAAAAAACATGCTAAAGTATCAGTTTCAAGCTTTAAAATGCTGTTTTATTTTTTTGTCTGCAATGATTTTTTTATCGAATTACGGTGACCTGAATATTATGCAAATTTAATTAAAATATACTACCTTGATCAAAAAGTTCCCGGAATTACCACCAAGTGATGTTCTGAGTCAGCTGATTTGAGTTCTGTTTTTTTGGTTAGGTTGCCACTTCTATCATTGACATTTCCACCAAATTTTATCGCCACAGCTTGACATTTGTAAAAGTTACGCCGTCTTGAGTACATCTACCTCTGCACGTGTTTTCGATTTTTTACAGTTTTAAAAATGGAGTTGAATTTGCAACAACGAGTTTGTATTAAATTTTTTGACCAAGAAGAACGAAACGAATACCATCTAACAGCCATCGAATTCACTCGATATGACTCCTTACGATTTTTTTCTGTTCGATCGAGTCAAAAAACCACTACTAAGAGGTAATGGAAAAATCGAAGACGGCTCTGAAGGCTATACCGACAATAGAGTTCCAGAAATGTTTCGAGAGCTGGATCAAGCGCTGGCATAAGTGAGTTGCAGTCGACGGGGAGTACTTTGAAGGGGACAATATCACTTTTGATGAATAAACCTGTATTTTGAATTTTCTGAATGAATTCCGAGAACTTTTTGATCAAGATAGTACTTGCCCGCAGGAACAAGGTATTTTGTATACTCCTGCGGAGCTGAGTGGAGGTCTTTGATCTTTAGGATTTCTTAAGATTTGTCCTATCTTTTTGTCCTATTTGGTTTGAAGATAGTTCGAATGTTGTGTTTGTTTAATATCCTGCCGATCCGATCTGTTGTTCTTTTAACAAATGGAAGTATGGATAGTATCCTTTCGTCTGGTTGTGTGTCAGGGACCGTTGTCTTGTTTGCATGTTTATTGATTATTTTGGTTATGTCTTTTTTGTCGTGTCCGTTTTTCTGTAAGGCTAGTTTCAGGTGGTTGAGTTCTGTCTGTAGATGTTCTTTGTCAGAAGTGAAAGCTCTATGTACAAGTGAGTTGATTGCTGACTGTTTTTGTGCTGGGTGGTGGTGCGACTCGGCATGTCGGTACCTGTCTGTGTGTGTTGGTTTTCTGTATACTTGATGGCCTAAGGTACCGTCAGCTTTCTTAGAGACAAGAATATCTAACAAGGGGATTTTTCCGTTTTCCTCTATATCCATAGTGAAGTGGATATTTGGATGTTGTTTGTTGAGGAAAATAAGGAATTTATGGAGTTCTGTTCTGCCGTGTCTTCGTATCACGAATGTGTCGTCTACATAGAATCGAACTTCTGGCTTTTTGGGCGTTTTCCTGAGGGCCTCTTTCTCGAAGTGCTCCATGAAGATGTTGGCGATTACAGGGGAGATAAGAGAGCCCATTGCCGCTCCTGAAATTTGTTTATAAAATTGGTTGTTATAGGAGAAGTAAGTGGTTGTTAAGCAGTGCTCTATTAGCGGGATGAGGTCGGAGGGGACTTTGTGTGAGGCATTTATTACGTTTAGTGTGTCTTTGATTGGGACTTGTGTGAAAAGGGATTCTACGTCGAAACTTACAAGCAAGTCTGTGGGACGTAGTCAGATATTTTGGATCTTGTTCATGAAGTCCGTTGAGTGAGTGATGTGTGATTCAATTTTTCCAGTGAGGGCTTGTAGTGTGCTAGGAAGCGGGATAGGTTGTACGTCGAGGAGTGTACACAAGTAGAGGAGCTGACACACAACCAGACGAAAGGATACTATCCATACTTCCATTTGTTAAAGGAACAATAGACAATACCGAATCGGCAGGATATTAAACAAACACAACATCCGAACTATCTTCAAACCAGATAGGACAAAAAGATAGGACAAATCTTAAGAAATCCTAAAGATCAAAGACCTCCACTTAGCTCCGCAGGAGTATACAAAATACCTTGTTCCTGCGGGCAAATATACATTGGAGAAACCGGGAGAATGGTCAACCTACGGATAAAAGAACACCAACGTGATGTCAGGCTAAAACACGCCACGCAGTCGGCATTATCAGAACACAATATCGAAACAGGACATCAAATACAGTTCGATAAAACAACCACAATAGCCAACATTACATCATACTTTCCAAGAAAGTATAGAGAAGTCATAGAGATACAAAAACACCCTAACAATCAAAATAGAGATAATGGCTACAACATAAATAAAATATGGAAGACCATTCTCCCGGCTACTGAAGACCGGTCGACTTCCTCTCCCCCTCTACCCACAATTTTCTTCTCCCCTCCTCTCCCCATCCCAACAAGCAGCGTAATATAAAGGAAACGACCCGAGGGAACAGCTTAGTATCAGGCTGCTCCTCGCCCTGATGAAGTGGACTGTAAGGTTCATGAAACGTTGGCATTCCAAGAATGGATCTGGACACGGAGAAAACCCGCGAAATGCAAGGTTGTCACTAATTATAAGTATTGCTAGAGATCCTATAATCAGAGTTTGGCGAATGTGGACCAAAAATGGATAGAGAGAGATAACAGATATTCCTTTCTCGTATGAACGCATGAGCAAAAAGTGTTAGAATACGTGACGACAATACCAGAAGAAACCAATCAAGTTGATCAATTGGCCGAATTGTGTAATTGTCATTTGTTAATTTTCTTTTTGTCCGAAACTTCTGAACGATTTCTAACCTCTTCGACACAGGTTTTACTCATCTGCTTGTAGCTATCTATCTCTTTCTATTCTTTGCAATCGTTTTCCGACAATGTACGTAGCTATCCGAAGAATATCGAGTGGACCAAGGTAGAGAGAACCAATCAGAAGTTGTGACCGTTTTCGCCAAACTCTGATTACCTATAGGATCTCCAAGTATCGCGAATGCCATCTGCCGTTTAAAATATGAAACGGACAACATTTCCGAGGGTAATAATGATGTCGTATCTTAAAAATTTGACATTTCGGACATTGCAGTGATATCTCTGTTTGTAGGGTACGTAAACAATAAACTTTAATTTTATAATTTAAACCCGAGTTGTCTATTGAGACTACTCAGAATCGATCAACTTCTGAGTATTTTCAATGATCCAATAATGTCGGGTGCTCGCCGACTCGAGTAAAAACACGGGGCGGTCTCGCGCTAGCTACACTTGACGCGAGACACTACCGTGTCTCTTGATCTTGCACTCTTCGCGATTGTACATACACGCTACCAATCTGTCTCGTATTAAAGAACATATTATGACACACAATCGCCTTCCATGAATCGTGCGTCAAGTAACTACAATTTTCCACAATAATGCAGTTATAATTATCAGAACTTTGCAAAGAATCTAATTCCGTCGCAGCCTCAATAATTTTAATCTCGCAGTTCCACTTTCGTGCAGCGTGCGATGCGTTCATCAGCAAACTTAATGTCATCATCAAGACCAAAGATGGTATCATCGAACAATAAGTTTTGTTTAGTGAAATAAAATCATTTTTCAATTTTTTCCTGAAAATTTTAAATAAAAATATCAACAATAATCAACAGAGTTGTAGCGTTTTTTCTTAGTAACAGTTAATCCCTCGCACCCTGTATTTTTACATCAAACTCTTTCAGAAAATTGTTGAATAACACTAGTTTACCAAAAAATGTTTTTCTAGACATATAAAGATATTTTAAGACAAATTAAATTTTAAACACAATATATTACATGTGTGACAAGGTTTTAACAACAATGTCCATATTTTAATTCAACAAGATAACAAATACTCCAGAGAGCTTCACTTTAATGATCTTTCCAATTACCAACGAATTCGGTATTGCGAATTAAAGGAAGTTTGGAAAAGTGTTATTTCTTCACAATATCCTTAGAGAAAGATCAATTGCAATTTGGATGAAGAATCCACAAACGAAGAAAGCAAATGTTACCTCTGGGACAATTCGTGTATCTCTCAAACGTCTGCCAGATTGAGCGCAGCACCTCATGATTTCTGGAAACCCGAATGGATTTCACGCGCGAAGCGCTGCGTATTTACCCTCTCGCAATCAAGGAAAAAAAGGGAGAAGAATTCGTATTTTTTTCTTTCCAATCTTTTCAAGCTATTGTTTCTGTGCTATCTTTTGTGTGTTCGATAATAATGGCCCCGGCGTGGGATCAACGCCCACGCCAACCGGTCGCTCGTCCGTGGAAACAGTAAACAGCGACGAGCGGCAGATTTCGTTTCTTCCTTCCCCCATTTACTCTCAGTGAAATTTATTTACCTCATAAATCGACCGCTGGTACGTTGAATTCTATTTCTTTCTATGAAAAAAAACGACGAAAAAAAGACAGGGAGAAAAGAGAAAGAAATTCGGACCGAGACGCTTCTCTCTTTCGTTATGCGGCTCGCCCTGTTACGTATACTCTGGCTGCGTTCGGGGAGACGCTATTGGAGCTATTTGTGTCATTCTATCTTTATTGTCCACTAAACGTGAAACAAGGATAGCATGACACTGATAGCGCTCTCCCCGAACCCAGCCTAGGATACGTATTTCGATCCTATCGAAATACATAGTGTGCACGATGAATACAAAAATTTGTTAAATAAATTAAAATAAAGAACTCTTATTAACTAATAATAACATAAAAAAAATAGAAGGGCATATAACCCAATAAACACTCGATAGTGTAAATATGGTGTAATATACGTATCAATAGTGTAGCATTGATATAGATAATAATAGTAAACGATTATTATATCGTATAACAGTATAAGTTAAATATATTGTAATAAATACACGTTATTTAAACGTTTTCAATATACCTTATTTATATATTCACTTAAGGATATAAATATGATATAAATAAGGTA